GATCAAACCCGTGCCCCCTGCAATGGAAGTGCTGGGTCTTAATCACTGGACCACCAGGCAAGTCCCTCTTCTGTAATTTTGTTCGTGGTTTTTATTTGCCCTCCTTTTACTAACCGTGTGACCTTACACATGTTACTGCTTTAAAGCCTCAGTTTTCTTACCTGTAAAATGGAGGTAATCATATCTACGTCTTAAGGCTTTGTGGGTTTAAAATGGTCATGTGCCTGGAATGCAGTAATAGCTCAATAAACAGACAGAAGGGCTATAGCAGCATTAAGTAAATGAACAGCTAAATGGGGAGGCAAGACATTTGGGGTGTGGGGGAAGGGAGCAGGTAGGCAAGCTCAGAACCTTCACGACATCAGTAAGGGGGTAAAGGCCCTTCCCGCTGCTCTGTGTCCTTAATTTTATTTCCCTGGTGTCCTGTACTCTCTGCCTGAAGATCTCTTCCCTTCACAGTCTTAGGGGATGTTTTTTTTTCTCTCCTCTAGTTATTCTGCCATTGGAATCCCATCTGCTTACAGTCTTCCAGAGGTTCCTCAAAATTTCTGTTCTGCTGATAGCACCTTTTTCTTGCTTTCCAGCACTCTTCAAGATTTATTTCTTATACCTTTTATGTCACTTCCAGAAAATGTGGAAGAAGAGGACGTAGAAAAGAGTGTTTCTCATGGCACCATCTTGAAAAAGAATCACTGTGGACATTCTGAATCCCTGGTTCCTTTCCCTTTCGTCATATGGAAAGAAAATCCAGGGGGCTGTTTGGAGGCTGTTCTGTTGCCATCTCCCCGAGCATCCCTGGGAAAGGAATTTAATGTGTACCTCTGTGATCTCATTCCTTCCAGCATGAGGGGAAAATGGTCCCCTAGTCAATGAATGGCTCATGAATGAATGGGACAGTGGCTATAACTACAGGAATTCGTGGAGTCAGGCCAGAAGTGGAGCACATTGGCCACAAGCCCCTGCCAGCCCAGATTAATGGGCTTGGCTTAATGGCCTCTGCTTTAAGCTCCAGTGGTTTCTAAGCTCATCCCAGATCCAGGAGTCCATGACAAATGCCTACTGAGCACAGCCCTGGAAGATCAATAATGAAAAAGGGTGGGAAGGACGGAGTTGAACTGAGAGCCTCTAAGTGGCAGACAGTCTGGATTTGTCCCTGTGTTAAGTCCATGTTCTCACATCTCCTTTCCTCCACATTTGTTGTTTCCATAATTATACACCGAGTCCATCGTCCAGCTCACTGATGCCTGAGCCTCTTACCAAAGCCTTCAGCAGACGAGCTGAGTGCTGACATTTTTTGAGTGTCTGCTAGCCACTGTCCTGGGCACTTCACATGCGTTGCCATTTAACATTCTAAGTGACCCATGGGGTAGGTATGCTATTATCCCCATTTTAGAGATGAGAAAACTGAGGTGTAGAAAGGCTTAATGACTTGCCTAAGGATGCACAGCTATTATGTGACAGGGCCAAGGTAGCCTGGTTTTGGAGCCCATGATCCAAGCACCCTGCTTCAGTATTAGCATTCTCCTTTGAGATCACCTCTCCCAGCCTCCCCAAACCGTGACACTCCGGAGGCTCAAGAAGTCAATCACTGAGCTGTTGACCCTCGGAGGGCAGGGGCTGCAGTGGTGCATCACCCCTATCTTCACCCACCAGAGCCAATCTTGCCATTTCTGCTGCCAAAAAGCCAGTCTGCCAGCAACAGAGACCAACATGGAGCCCTCAGGATGGAACCATCCCATGTCACTTGGTGGCGAGTTTTTTACATTGGACATCTTCCATTTGGGAAGAAGCAGTGATTCATCTTGACCGGAAATGGCACATATTCTGGGTACTGGTTTGCCTTTCCTGCCCACAGGGTCTCAGGCAGCATTATTATCTGAGGGCTTTCCAAGTATTTGACCCATTGACACAGGATCCCCTAGTGCATGGGACCAAGGGAGCCGATGTATAACAAAGGAGATGCAGCAGTGGGTATATGACCATGGAATCCACTGGTCCTTCAACATAACATGCCACCCTGGAGCTGCTGGCCTGAGTGACCGAGCAGCCTTTTGTAGGTGCCGTGGAGGTGTCAGCTTGGAGATGATACCCTGTGAGGACGGGGCACTAACTTCTAGGACACAATATACCCTTAAATCAATGATTATTACATGGCGCTGTGTAGAAAGAAGACATGGTTCTGGAAATCTAAGAGTCGAAGTAGAAGTGGCCTTCATTGCCATCATTCCCAGTGACCCACTTGGGGGGGTCTGTGCTTCCTCCATTCTGCATCTTCTAGGCTCTGTGGGTCTGGAGGTCCTGGTTCCCAGAGAGAATATGCTTCCACCAGGGTACACAGCAAGAATCCAATAACTTAAACAAAAGCTATCACCTAGTGACTTTGGGTTCCTTGTGTCAAGAAATGAGTAGCCATGAAAGAGAGTCATCATTCTGTCCCAGGAATTGATCCTAAGCATCAGGAGGTGGTAGGATTACTGTTATCTACTTGGGTACCTAGGTGATACACGGGACATCTCTTGGTAATCCCCCTGCCCAGTCTTGGTGTTAAATGGACGGGCAGCAGCAATGACCTGAGAAGGGCGTGGTAACAAGGGGCCTCATCTAGATCAGCAGAGGTACTAGCCAAAGGTGAGGAGAATCTAGAATAGGTGGCAGAGGGCAGAGAATAATACACATCGGCTGCAGTCATGAGGCCAGAAGCCATAGCAGGGACTGTAGGTTGTCTCACTAGCCATCCTTTTATAAGTCTTTTCAGGGAAAAGACCAACCAGAATCCTGGAAGAGCTGTTCCCAGACGGGGTGAACTTATTATACGATGTGAGCACATCCAAAGAGTCCAGGGAATGGACTGTAGTGGATGCTGTGATGCACCCCCTGGATTCCCCCTTCAGGGCTGAGGCATACGGTCCCTCTGGAATGACCAGGAGTACTGCCTGCTAAGAGCTCAGAATTGAGGCCCTTGCAGGAATTGCCTTGGCCAAAAATAGCTGACTTCCCCAAGGTCATGTTCCCTCCTCGCGGACAGCCCACATCCAAGGTGGCTGATGTGAGGGTACAAGGGCCCAGCCCCCATGCCTCAATTTGGAACAACCCTAAAAAGCCATCCCAGCTTCCGAACCCCTACAGGATTGGCTGAGGCCCCCATCAGCTGTTACAATCGCATTGCCACTCAGCTTCTCCCTCTGCCCGTGCCCGTTTTTCTCACTCCCTTACAGGTGTTGATCCTGGCCCCCTCTTGCACACAAATCTCTATCTCAGTCTGTTTCCCAGGACGCCAGCCTGTAACAGGAACCGTGCCTGTTTGGCTCACTGCTGTACGCCCAGGACGTAGCACTGGCCCACGTCATAGCAGGAGCTCAAGAAATATTGGTTGAATGAATGAACAAACTAGAAAGAAACCACCTGGTCCTTGTGCAAAATTTTCCTCAATTATTGCAGTAGGGTTCCTTATCTCCAACCTGTCCAACCCACCACTGCCAGATTAATACTTTTAAAGTACCTCTCCTGCTCAAGAACTTTCAGTGGCTCCCCACTGTCTATAGACAATCCCTTTGGCCTGGGATTCAAGACCTTTAAGAAGCTTGCCCCGGTCTACCTGTCCCATCTCAGTTTTCAATTCTCATGTATCTCAGCCTAACAAGCTACCTGAACTGGACCATTAGCCTTCCTCAGACTCAGCTACGGCTTCCTCTTTTCATGAAATTCCCTTCCTATGAGATATCCTACATCTTCCCCAGTCTCCTCTGGGCCTTTCCAAATCCTTTTAATCCTTCATAGCAAGGCAGTAAAATGCAATGGTTAGAGCCCAGGCTCTGGAGTTAGAGGGAGTGGGTTCAGATTCCATCTCTGCCTCTTGTAGCTGTGTCACCTGAGGCAAGTTACTTTACCTCTCTGTGCCTCAGTTTCTTTATCTGTAAAATGGGGTTAATAATATAATCTACCTCATAGGGAAATTTGGGGGATTAAATGAGACAATCTGGGCAAACTGTTTAGAACAGCACCTGCTCCTTAATAAACACTAAATATTGGCTATTAATCACCATCCTTGAGAGTGGGGTCAACACACTATTTTTTTTTTTTTTTTTGGCCACACTGCTGCTTTCAGGATCTTAATTCCCCAACTAGGGATGGAACCCAGGCCCTCGGCAGTGAAAGCGCAGAGTCCTAACCACTGGACTGCCAGAGAATTCCTAAACACACTTTTTCTATGAAGGGCTGAATAGTAAATATGTCAGGTTTGCAGGCCATACAGTCTCTACTGAGACAACTCAACTCTGTTGCTGTAGCATGGAAACAGGTGTAGATAATACATAAATGTATGGTGCGGCTGTGTTCCAATAAAACTTTATTTAGAGACCCAGTAATCAGGTTAGATTCAGCCCACCTGCCACCACCTGCCACCCTCTGCTTCAGGATTCCCCAGTCTCCCAGGAGACAGTGACCTCTTCCTGCAAGTCTGACTACTGTCAGCATCATAACAACAGCAACAACAAAATAACACATAACTTACAGATAATTAGCCCCACCCCCTGTCTCCTGGTTAGGTTAGAAGAGGGTAAGAGGCAGCACGCGGTGTAGTTAAGGGCACAGATGTTACAGGCGGACAGACTCAGGTTCTTAGTTCCACCTGCAGCCTGTGTGACTTGGGCAAATGATTTCACCCGCTGAGACTCAGTTTTCTCAGCTGTAAAGTGGAGACTGCACTAATTCAACACGTCCCCCCAACATCTTCTGGGGCTGCTGTGCTGTGTCAAAGAGAAACGTCCAATCAGTGCTAGCTCTATTATCTTTATTATTTCACATCTACGACCTTCCAGCTACCATGTTGCTTTTGCTGTTGGTAATCATTATAATACTGACAATGACACTATTCTCTGGCTCCATCAGAGCCCCTGGATACCAGAAGCCCTAGTGTATGTACCATCTTTGCATCCCTCTGAGGCCATGAACATAGTTGGCTGGCTGCCTGGCTGGGTGGCCAGAGCTGGGTCTTTACTTACGACTGGGGGACCCCTCCGATCCCGAAGCCCACCAGGCCCCGGAGCACCAGGATCCAGCTGTACACGGGCGCGAAAGCACTGAGGATGCCATAGTACAGGGTCCAGAGCACACTGATCTTCAGCCCCTGAGGAGAAGGAAGACACAGGGCTTCTCAGCATCTGTAGGTCACATGTCCCCTGCACATGTTCAAAGTCACCAATAGGGTCACGGTAAAGGGTGATCCACACAGCCAAGGGGATGCCCGGGGTTCTCTGCATGGGTGGCACCCACCCTGAGGGGGTGTGGGGGAAAACTGTGGGTCATTCTTGGTTGTCCCAATGATCGGCATTTAACAGATACATCCCAGAGATGTTAGATGTCTCACAGCGCGTGAGACCTAATAAAGACTTATCCTGTGTCCTGCACCAGCTCCAGTCAAACTTCCCACCCTACCGTCGTGCAGTTGAAAACTGTTTATGGTTATCAGCGCCTAGATCTTCACTCTAGTTTACATATAAACAGGATTTTGGAAGGTGGGTCACGTAATTTTTCAGGAATGCAACTTCTAGGTAAATCAAAGGAGGATACACTTTGTTTTATCCAGAATTTTACAAAATGGTCCATCATTTCAGAAAACCGTGTTGCCAATGGCAACGCTGCATGTGATAGCTGAGTGACTGAGGGAACACTTCGGCATCTGTCTGCATTCATAGGGCTTCTATGTGTATCTATGAATAGATTGATCTGAATCTTATTTCAAAACGTCAGATATAAAGAAAAAGCATTGACAAGATTCCTTTAAATCCAAACTTATTTATAATTGGGGCAAATAGTAACTACTTCCTTTTAGGATCTAGGCAGAGTTGTGTGTAAATATTTGCATATTGAAAGTAAATTTATTAATTACCTCCTTTAAAAATTTTCTCCCTTGTATCATAGTTAGAGCATTATAACTGACTTCTTTTTTATTATTTTTATTTTTTTATTTAATTTTTTTTGGCCACGCCGCGAGGCTTGCGGGATCTTAGTTCTCTGGCCAAGGATCGAACCCCGGCCTCTGGCAGTGCAAGCATGAAGTCCCAACCACTGGACCACCAAGGAAGTCCCTGACTTCTTTTTTAAAACTGTGTAAGCAACTAGGTTATTTTATCTTTGAAATTATTTCTGGATTATTAGGGGCACTATTAAAAATTTTATAATTTTTTTAAATAAAGGGGACACTGTAGGGAATTCCCTGGCGGTCCAGTGGTTAGGACTCAGTGCTTTCACTGCCATGCCCTGTGTTCGATCCCTGGTCAGGGAACTAATATCCCGCAAGCCGCATGGTGCAGCCAAAAAAAAAAAAAAAAGACATTGTATTTGATGGGGTTGAAAACCTCCTAGGAACACAATACTGCAGGACAAACCTGGTACATATTCCTGGAGTGTCAATTACCCTTAGAGACTGAGAAAACATTAAGGGTGAATGTAATTTAAAATAGAGTTTTTATAACACAACCAACACCAAATGTATTATGGAGTAGAATGCAAATTTAACATGAATTTTAGACCCGCCACATGAGGTCTGAGCAGACCTCCTTCTGCAGCACTGTTCCTAAATCTGTAGGACTGAGTTCACCCTTCTGCCAGCTCCCCATACCCCCATGCTTCAGGGAGAAAGTGTGAGACATACTAATTTTAGCTTTAAAATGAAAATGAATTAAAAGTGACTAGAGAGGGAATTTGGAGGTCTACCAGATGATTTCAGGTCTTTTGGAAAATGATTTTAGGTGGAAGAGAGAATGTTTTAAATAACTTTGCATCACCTTGCAAGCAGGCGATCTCCTTTTCATTTTAACCTTCACTTGTCTGATTACGCCCAAGAGGAAGTATCCATGTGGTGCTGGTCTTTTTTGTCTAAATTTATTTATTTATTTATGGCTACATTGGGTCTTTGTTGCTGCCTGCCGGCTTTCTCTAGCTGCGGCGAGTGGGGGCTACTCTTCGCTGTGGTGCGCGGGCTTCTCACTGCGGTGGCTTCTCTTGTGCGGAGCAAGGGCTCTATTCGCGCGGGCTTCAGTAGTTGTGGCTCATGGGCTTAGTTGTTCTAAGACATGTGGGATCTTCCCGGACCAGAACTTGAATCCGTGTTCCCTGCATTGGCAGATGGATTCTTAACCCTGCTGGTCTGTCTTTAACACCTTTTTAAACATCTGCTAATCTCTCACTTTAACAGAGAGGGCAGTGGGGCAACCATACCAGCCAGAATTTTTTTTAATTAATTAATTTATTTATTTATTTTGGGCCGTGCTGGGTCTTCGTTGCTGCGCGCGGGCTTTCTCTAGTTGACGCGAGCAGGGGCTACTCTACGTTGCGGTGCGTGGGCTTCTTATTGCGGTGGCTTCTCTTATTGCGGTGGCTTCTCTTGTTGCGGAGCACGGGCTCTAGGCCCGCGGGTTTCAATAGTTGTGGCACAAGGGCTCAGTAGTTGTGGCTTGCGGGTTGTAGAGGGCAGGCTCAGTAGCTGTGGCTCAGGGGCTTAGTTGCTCCGCACCATGTGGGATCTTCCCGGACCAGACCTTGAACCCGTGTCCCCTGCATTGGCAGGAAGATTCTTAACCACTGCGCCACCAGGGAAGCCCCCAGCTAGAATTTTATAACATTGTTTTCTTTGTATTTATTTTTGCAGCTACTTCCTATTTACTGCAGTTGCTATTGATTTCCCATTTAAGACTCTCTATCAAGTTTCCTTTTCAAAAAACATGCATTTAAGGATTTTAAAAAATGTTGATATAAAGAAAGATATTAAGTATATAAGAGAACAGGTGGAGCAGGAATTATTCAAGGCCAGGAAAACCTGGATCTATTGTAATAATGAATAACAATAATAATCAATAAATAATAAAGCAACCTTTCTGTTCCCCTAAACCCAGGGCTATGATATTGGTACCTGCCACACATATACTTGGTTCCTTTCTTTTGGCTTAAGCTAACTTAATAGGGATTTTCTTCCTTGGAACCCAACAAGTCTTGAATCAGTAACAAGACATCATTAGCAGCAGAGAAAATAAAAGAACAGAAGGAAAACAGCAGGAGGAGAGGAGAGGGGAGAGAGGAGGGCACCCAGACTGGCACATGGCAGCCAAGCCTCTCTCACGGGGCTGCCCGGCAACTGTGCTATCCCAGTGAGGTCACCGGGTGCCCCCATACCAGGCAGCAGAGACAAGCAGGCTGATCTGTCCTATCAGGTCATAGCAGGGAACAGCTGGCTCTGCATTTGCCCGCCTATGCCAGGGCTTTCCAGCTGCCCAGAAAATGAGGACTCAGCAACCATTTGGAAGTACTGTTATAGCTATTGCAAAGGCACCAGCAGTGCCAACAAGCCCCATCTAAGCACTGCTTGGGGACTCTGCAGAAATGTCCTTTGGGCTTCTCATCACCTACAGTTGTCATTCTACCTAACATCTGTTCTGCCTTTTAGATTGTTACCCCTCCCTCCCTTCCTCCCTCCCTTCCTTTCTTCCTTCCATATCTATTAAGCATCCTCTGTATACCAGGCTCTAGAGATAGATGGATATTATACATTTATTAATTTGCTGATTCAGTTATTCATTCAACAATAAGCATGTATTGAGTGACTGCAGTATACCAGACACTTAGAGATACTGATATATATTATTCATTCATTCAATACACAGGTATCGAACACCTGTTGTGTGCCCAGCACTAGAGGTACTGAAATGTATCATTCATTCATTCACTCATTTGTTCACTATACATGTATTGAGCACCTGTTGTGTGCCTGGCAGTTGAGGTCCTAATATACATTATTCATTCATTCATCCATTCACTCTGCACACATTGACAGCCTACTGCTTGCTAAGCACTTGGCTTTGTCCTGGGCTAGGACAGGCCACATGACAGCCAGAGTCTCTGACTTCATGGAACTTTCATTTGCATTTCTTAAATCGCAGCCCCATCATTACACTGGATCCTCACAGTGGCCTGTGGAAAGACGTTATTTTCATGACCACTTTATAAATCAGCACGTTGAGGGCCGACAGAGTTGAGTGATTTGTTCAGGATCAGCAGAGTCAAAACTGGAGCCAGGATTTCTAATGCCCGAAGCTGTACTTTGAAAGAGCCACTCCCCTTCTCCAGGACCTTTGATGGCTCCCCATTACCTCTGGCAGAGAACATACGCACATGATGCAGGTGTAAATGCAGTGAGGACAGGTGGGCCTGGGTGAATGAAAGAGAACTTGCCCTGCCTTGCCAGCCTCAGCTCCAGACGAAAGCTAACATCACAGAGTGTGGATCCCAAGCTGCCGGATAACGCAGCTTTCCAAAAACCCACACCTCTTTTTACTTTTATGCAAAAATATGTGATTTTTGAAACGGAGGCAACTGATTCAAAATCCCATAAAGCATTGCATGGGATAAATCATACACATCTGGGGGCCACATTTGGCTCATGGCCCACCTGTTTGCCACCTGGAGCCTGGAAAGGCTTTCATCTTGCTGCCACTTGGATGCCAGGCCTGCAACCCCAAAGGAGCATGCTGATCTCATTGCCATGAGCATTGCTCAGTCTCCTGCAGGACTGTCTGGCTCAAGCCTCCTGGTACTCGCCAATCTTTCTCAAGCACAAGGAAAATAGTCACAGGCAAGGAAACCCGAGGATCTTCAAAATATTGAAAAGAGAGGCCCAGTGCCTGCCAGCCACCTCCTTTTCCTCCTTAGAGATAACGTGGTCCTGTAGCCTTTGAACTAGAGGATGACCTGATCACATTCTAAATCTTTTTTTTTCGAGTCCCAACCAAAAGTAGTTACCATTAATCACGGGCTAACCATGCATCTGTAAATACTGTTCTAAGTGTATTATATACATTTTCTTTTTTTTTTTATTTTTTCGGTACGCGGGCCTCTCACCATTGTGGCCTCTCCAGCTGCGGAGCACAGGCTCCGGAAGCACAGGCTCAGCGGCCATGGCCCACGGGCCCAGCCGCTCCGTGGCATGTGGGATATTCCCGGACCGGGGCATGAACCTGCGTCCCCTGCATCGGCAGGCGGACTCTCAACCACTGCGACACCAGGGAAGCCCTACATTTTCTTATTTAATCCTCCCAGCAATCCTTTGAGTTCCTACTGTTGTCAACCCTATTTTGCCGATGGGAAAACTGAGGCTCAGAGAGGTAAAACAGCTGTCTCAAGGTTACCTCGCTCGACAGGGGGCGCTACGTTATGAACCCGGATGCGTTTATCTCCATCTGCGCAAGGCCACACACGTCGCCCTTCCTTTCTGCGGCTGCCACAAGCCCCCCGGCTGTATAAACTTCTGTAGGAATCAAAGCATTCTCGGGGCTTCCCTGGTGGCGCAGTGGTTGAGAGTCCGCCTGCCAATGCAGGGGACACGGGTTCGTGCCCCGGTCCGGGAAGATCCCACATGCCGCGGAGCGGCTGGGCCCGTAAGCCATGGTCGCTGAGCCTGCGCGTCCGGAGCCTGTGCTCCGCAACGGGAGAGGCCACAACAGTGAGAGGCCCGCATACCGCAAAAAAAAAAAAAAAGAAAGAAAGAAAAGCGTTCCACCGAGTCCTAACCCCACATGTGATCCTCCTGCAAAGTCACACAGCAGACGCCCTCACAGAAACCTCCCAGCTGAGCCAAGGAAGATCAGGGAGCTAAGAGGAGGTTCTCCAAGCTTGCCAAGGCTCGCCAGCTGTCTGGCTCTCCTGCTGGTCCTGGAGGAGTTCTGGGGAAGCTTTATAATTAGAGCCGGATCCATCCTCCATGAGGTTGGGCCAGAATTCCATGCTGGGGAGAAGGAGGCTCTTCAGTCTGGTGGCACTTTCTCTCTCTCTCTCCGGTCACGCCAGCTTTATGTTGGGTGTGGTATTTAGCAAGCTGCTCAGGAGATCTGGAGGAACCCTCTGCAGACAGCCCCCTCCAGGCTTCATCTATTTGGGGTGGATGAATGTTCAACTAATCAACTGAATTCCAGGGAATCGTTCAGTGATGTCTCCCAGCGGCCAAGGTCAAGGTGATGGATGTGAACTCTGGAGCCAGAGGCACCTGCATTTTAACACCGGCCTTGCCATTTATTGGCACCGTGAGCTTGGCAAATAGGAAGGATAATGGAAATTGAAGAAACATTTCCTCTGTGTCAAGAGCTTTCTGTCACAAGGGTCATTTACTCCCCGTAACAGCCCTATGGGGAAGACTATTATTATACCATTTACAGATGAGGAAACTGTGGCACAGACAGATTGAGCGCCAAGGGGATGGGGGTGGGCACCACCAGCATCTTCCATGTTCTGAAATGCACATCCTTGGGTCCCACTAGGGATATGTGATTTCAAGAGTCCACAGCCTCAGAGCAACGTCTTCTCTTTGCCCTTCAGTGTATCCCTGAATTAATTAGACCCCCACCAAATGCTCAGTCAGCATAAGTTTTGCTGCTTTGTCAATGCCATCACAAAGATAACCCAGAGGACACGAGCTTAGGAGAAGTTGCCTTACTGTTTTCCTGCCATACTGGTCTGAGATGTTTCCCCAGAGGGTAGAACTGGACATCATGCCGACAAAGACCACCTGTGTGGGCAAAGACAGTTTCTGTTAGATAATGACATGGAGCATCGTGGAGAAAAGGAACACCAATTTGAAAGTGTCACGTCACACTCCTGTAATAAGAATGAAGCAAGCTTTACTGAGAACGTGTTGAGATGCAAATACTAGTCTACATGCTTCATATTACTGTTTAAGCCTCACAACAATCCCATGGGGCGGGTGCTATTATTATCCCCATTTCACAGATGAGGAAACAGAGACTCAGAGAGGGGAGGTCACATGGCCTGGGTCACACAAGTGTAAGTGATGCAGCCTGGGCTGGAATCAGGCTGCATGGCTGCAGAGCTAGTATTTTACCAATTTCTCACCAAACCCAAGAAATGTCTTATGGCTAAAAAAATGTTAAAGGTTGCAAGGTAGAGTTTGGAGGATATGAAAACAGGAGACAGGAGGTTAGGATGGGAGTTGTAAGCCATTAGCAAGAGACAGCAACCATGGAGTGCTCACTGTGTGCTGGGTAAAGTCCTTGTTCCGTTGTTAACCCTTGATCAGAGCAGATGAGTTATAAATGCTCATACCCATTTTATAGATGGGTAGCTTGAGGTTTAGAAGTTTTAAGAAACCTGCTCTTATCCCAGGGAGGAGAGGGTAGAGACAGGTCTTAAACCCAAACAGGCCGACTAGAGCTCTCTTCACTGTTCTATCCTTTCCGGAGCACTCACCAAGTGTCAGACACCACACTGAATGCTTTTTACATATGTCTTACCTAATTCTCACAGCAGCCCTAAGGAGTGGGTACTATTATTATCCCCAGTTTACATATAAGGCCACTGAGGCCCAGAGACGGGAATGGCACTTCTTAGTGTGGTCTGAACCCAAAAGCATTCCTCCAGGCATGACTTAGAGCAGAGGGCTCCAAACCGGCTACACAGAGGTGTTCCAAGGGAGAAGCAGATTTGGACAGTTTTAAAGGAATTCATTTCCAGGCCTTCAACTTCCATAGAGATTCTTTCCTGAGAACAGGTTAGGGGTCTCACCAGTTCCTTCCTCCCTTTCTCAACCACCCCTCCCCCACTTCTCCCTACCGCATCCTCCCAATGCACCTTTTGAGGTTAAACATTGCTTTGAGGTTAAACCCTCCAGGATGCCTCCAGAAGGACACCAATGACACAGTTACAAATCCTTTCGCAAGTCATCTTGATTCCAATTCCATTTTATTATTATTATTTTTTATTTTATTTATTTATTTTTTTGCGGTACGCTGGCCTCTCACTGTTGTGGCCTCTCCCGTTGCGGAGCACAGGCTCCGGACGCGCAGGCTCAGCGGCCATGGCTCACGGGCCCAGCCGCTCCGCGGCATGTGGGATCCTCCCGGACCGGGGCACGAACCCGCGTCCCCTGCATCGGCAGGCGGACTCTCAACCACTGCGCCACCAGGGAAGCCCCATTTTATTATTTTTAACCAAATTGCAGGAGAGCCTAATCAAGCTGTCAGAAAATTAGATCACTAAAAATAATTTTTCATAAACGACTGCCGTGTGCTCTTCGGCACGAAACTTGGAAGTTGTTGGAAAACATCAAGTGGCATTAGTTTATTGAGTTATTACAAAACTCCTTCAGTTTCCTCCCCCCAAAGTTTTTATATGTGAACAAAGCCTTTCATATTCGTATCCATTCAATAAATATGAAAAGTAGGAGTAGCCTAGTGGCTGAACCCTGTCTCATTTTAGCAATAAGTAATGATTCAAGAATGCATGACATAATTGGGAAACACTCCGTAGCCCTCATGAAGAGGTGTGTTCCTGATAAGGTGACTTATGTTTAGCAATTATTTATCAAAATTAATTCTATCTTGTTTTGATCTGTTGTTTATTACTAAAAATTATCATGATAACTTACTGCAGGAGAAAAATGTTAATACTCAGAGCCTTATGATCTCAGAAAATTAAAAACAATAACTTAAAATGTCACAAAAACTATGATAGGGTGACAAATGAAGTACTTTCAAGCATAATAAAACATTACATTAAGATAAAATTATATGGAGAAATGGAATGAAAATACCAGTTCAAGAAGAAAACAAGACAATGCAAAATTTCCAAATTCTTCTGAAGAGCTTATTCATGTTATTTTTACACAGGTGATGGTGGGTAGCAGATAAATATTTCAATTCCATTGGACACATTAAAAAGAGTGATATGGGACTCCCCTGGTGGCGCAGTGGTTAAGAATCTGCCTGCCAGTGCAGGGGACATGGGTTTGAGCCCTGGTCTGGGAAGATCCCACATGACGCCAAACAGCTAAGCTCATGCGCTACTGAGCCTGCACTCTACAGCCCGTGAGCCACAACTACTGAAACCCACGCACCTAGAGCCATGCTCCGCAACAAGAGAAGCCACTGCAATGAGAAGCCCACACACAACAATGAGTAGCCCCCGCTCGCCGCAACTAGAAAAAGCCCACGCGCAGCAACGGAGACCTGACGCAGCCAAAAATAAATAAATAGATAAATAAATAAATAAATTTTTAAAAAATAAAAAATGAAAAGAGTGATATGAAAGTTTTATTTGAACTTTTAATATTTCAATACTCCAGAAATTATATATGCTGCAACTATAATTTTAAAGTTTTAACGTCAATTTAAAAACTTGTGAGACTCCTGGGGGCTGCATAGTTTTTACACAATTCTTTTCTAGATTAGCGAGAGCAAAAGTGTTTGATGATTACTGTCTTGGGGTAAAGTGTGGCCTTAGTCATGTGCTAAATGATATCCTTACATCCCGAAAGAGTCAAGCATCCCTGTAAACACCCATTTTCCCCCATTCTCACTCTCCCAGGGGAGACCTAGGCACCGCAGGGTACTGGTTATATATCACAGTAATTACGGTAATCTCACACAGTATTGCCTGTGACAGCAACGACGGTCAGTCTCATCCTTCTTATGTACTTTATGCAGCTGAAGCAGCTCCTGCAGTGCCCTAACTTTTCTGCAGAAAACTTGACCATGGAACTTCACTGCTTTACTAGCCCATGAGTCCAAACCTGATACCATAGGAAAGTGATCCAGGGCAGTAAGCTGGGGGCAGGGGCTCTGAGTCTGCCTGGCCTTGATTTCAATCCTGCCTCTGCCTCTGATAGGCTGTGTGAGTTTGGGCAAGTCATCGCACCTGTCTGAGACTTAGTGTCCTTATCTGTAGAAATGGGAGGAGTAATAACAGCACCTCTTTCATAGGTTGAGAGGGTTAAAGAGGTAAAGCATGGACAACCCCTAGCACAGATGCTGGCATATAAGTGCTCATTGATAAATGGTGGCTGTTAGGAACCAATGACAAGGGATCAAAAAGGCCTCGCATCACAAAAACACAGACCTGTGATTATTCCTTAGGAGGTATTAGTGAGAATGAGGAAAGAAAGAAGCGTCATTTACCCGACCTCTACCATGTGCTGGGCACTCTAGGGCTTTTGTCGACCATCCGAAGTCAGACAGGCGTTATCACCCCCATTTTGCACCCCCATTTTGCAGAGCCGAAAGTGTCTCGTTCAAGGTCCCTCATCTCAAGGTAACTAAACCACAAAAATCCAGATGTATGCGCTTATGAAGTTCCTTATTGCCTTGTTGCCAAAGGCCAAAGGCACTCAGGCCATTCTTGAACAGCTGTCCATAGAAAAACAGCATTCTGGGAGACATTCCTAGTCAGCAATGACTCTGCCACTAGCTAGGCTGTGTGACCTTTTGTGAGTGACTTAACCTCTCTGCACTCATCTTCCTCAGCTCATAATAGTACCTACCTCATAGCATTGTGAGGATTAAAAAGCACAATGTATATTGCACATATATTGTATACAGTGTATATAAAGCCATTTGCACTGTAAATGCTCAATAAACATTAGCTTTTGTGGGTATCATTATTTTTATCCTCTTATCCAGCCTGGCCATTCCCCTCCCTTTTAGAAGATTGCCGTTGAACTATCTCTGACAAAAATTAAGCGTCTGACTCATGCTCCTCCAAGCCTTAGTTCCAGGGAGCAGCAGCTCCTATGATTTACTGAACATGTACTATGTTGTTTCCAATCCTCAAGTCACCCTCACGTGGGAGGAACTGGCATCTTTTTGGAAGAGTGAGGCTTATAAGGTTTAAGTGATACGATCAGGTGCGTTCCAGCTTCCTGGCAATTGAGCAGGATATCTGGGGCCCCCAGGTAGCTGGAACCCCCAGGAGAGGTTAGAGTTGGCTGCAAAGCTGCCAGGATACGTGAGATGCAGAAGGGAGGAGGAATCTGAGGTAATGGTGTTTCCATTCAGGGTTTAAGTCTTTTCTGTTGAGTCCTTGGCAGCAGAAGGAGGAGGGGGACATCCTACAGAAACCACCCCTCCCCCCGGGGAGACCAGAAATGTGCACAAAAGGAAAGAGCTGCTGGGCTGCCTACCGAGGTCAGCAACGCCACCTGCCAGCTGGGCAGCCGCCACTCGCAGTGCAGCTGCGGCGCAAGGATGCTCAGGATCATCATCTCCATGGCGTCAGCCATCTGCAGGGAGCAAGCAAACATCATGAGGCCAGGATGCTGCCCAGGCCAGGGCCGGCTGGCCCCTCACCAAGTCCACGACCCCAAGCAAGTGTGTACAAAAATCCCTCTTCTACCTTCTGCTGAGTGCCCTATCACACATCAAAACACACTGAAAGTTGGGACTTCCCTGGAGGTCCAGTGGTTAAGACTCCACCCTCCCAATGCAGGGGGCACGGGTTTGACCAGGGCGGGGAAGTAAGATCCTGCATGCTGATCCCGCATGCCGCTGCAGAGCGGTCAAAAATACAATAGATAAATTAAATTTTAAAAACACACTGAAACAAAGCACCGCCTGGAAGGGTGGGATAGGGAGGGTGGGAGGGAGGGAGACGCAAGAGGGAAGAGATATGGGAACATATGTATATGTATAACTGATACACTTTGTTATAAAGCAGAAACTAACACACCATTGTAAAGCAATTATACCCCAATAAAGATGTTAAAAAACAAAACAAAACAAAAAAACACTGAAAGCTCCAGTAGTTAAAACAGTGCGGTGCCATGCAGGAATTGACAACTAGACATTCAACATTCTTTGTGTGTGTGTGTTCTCCCGTGTTTGGAAAAACTTAGGGGCACTCCCCGAATGAAGTGGTAAGGTATCATATTTCGAAAATCAGAAAAACATTTTTATAGAGGTAGAGAGACAATGACCTTTTTCTCTTATAGCTCAATTAAAAACTAGTTTCTCTTTGGTCATCGTTCATGTAGAATTGTCAGTATAGTTAATGAGTGACCTTTTAACATTATTAAAACATACTGGGAAGCCCTGGTGGCTAAATACAGTGGTACCTTTACTGGATTAAACAGACAAAGCAATGGCACAGAAATGAGAGTCAAGAAGCAAACCCATGTAGCCGTGGGAATGCGGTGGATGATAAAGGCGGCTCTGCAAATTAGTGGGAAAAATGATGTGGGGAAATTGATGACTGTTTGGAAAACTATGTAGTTAAATCTCAGTCTTGCACTAGTCACAAAAAATCAATTTCAATTGTATTAACGGTCTAGATGCATTATTTGCTTTAGGTAGATTAAGGGAGTTTGACGAGGGCTCATGAGCCCCTTAAAACGAAGGCACATTTTGATCTGTGCATGTTTTTCTAGGGTGAGCCTCACAGATGACATCAGAATCTTATAGAAGCCCTGAGCCTCAAAGGGTTGAGAACCACTTAATTAACCAGAAGCTTCAACTTCTCCTTGAGGGCAATTGTCAACCACACCTAACCTCCACAGCCCCCAACCCCCAGACCTTCATTATCACCCAGGGTCACTCAACCCAAACTCTGCTGATTCAAGCAAAGGCTCTATGCGGAAGGAGCTGTGTCCTTCCATGTAGACCATGGAAAGCCAGTTGAGCAGCACAGGTGTTCCTTGGAAACTGAAGGTGAGGCCACTGTCCCCAGAGATACTTGCCCAAGCCAAGCCGGTGAGAACAGAGAGCTTCCATTGAAATTTTCCAAAACCAATGGCTTCCACCGCATCTTCCACCATGAAAGTATCTGGGAAGGAGAAGGGGGAGGTGGAGGAAGGAGTCAGTGCATCTTGCAGTTGTCCTAGTGTGTGGGGCCTAGGTGGGGGCGGGGGGAGGGTCCCTGGCCAAGCTCTTTAAAGGCAGTGCATGCTGCTTCTAGAACTTATCCTAGAAAAACCTTCCAGCAAGCATGAAGGTATATCTTGCTGCAAAGTCCAACGCAACATTGTTTCTACAAAAGGAAAAACTGGACAACCCAGAATGTCTATCAACAGGGAATTGGTTAAATTATTTTATATATTATATTTAAATGTTTATATATCTACATTATGAAATACAACCCATCTGTTTAAAAACGGGCAGATATAGAAAGATGCATACAGTATATATTGCTAATTTTAAGAAAACAAAGCAAGATGGACCACGGGGAGCAAGATTAAGTGTCCACAGACTGTCGACAGGGTTATCTGTCAGCATTCACTTTTTTGTACATTTCGATCATGTCTGAATGCTTCCTAAATAAACACATATTATTTGTATACTCAGAAAAAAATAAGGATATAATTTAGAAGCTCATAAGTGTTTTGAGAAAGACGAAAAGACTAAATGCAATGTGGTGTGCTGGATTGGTTCCTGTAACAGCACTGCTGGGAAAACTGGTGAAATCTGAATGAAGTCTGGAGTTTCCTGGATAGTATTGCACCGGTGTTAATTTCTTAGTTTTGACAAGTGTGCCATGGTTAAGTAAGATGTTAACTTTAGGGGAAGCTGCATGAAGAGTATATGAAAAAATAACAAACAGACAAAAAAGATTTTGAGAAAGACAAAAAGAGTATACGAGAACTCTCTGTGCTATCTTTGCAACTTTTCTGTAAATTTAAAATAATCCAGGGACTTCCCTGACAGTCCAGTGGTTAAGACTCTGCGCTCCCAATGCAGGGGGCACAGGTTCAATCCCTGGTCGGGGAACTAAGGTTCGCATGCTGCACAGCAAAGCCAAAAAAAAAGTCCAAAATAAAGAGCTAACTAAAAAATAAAAATACTAAAGGAGCATGCTGGGTGGCCTTCCTGTGGGGCCTCTGAGGATCTCATCAGCCTCTGCTGGGAGTTGTCATCTTATTAGAATTTCAATCATGGGCCCCTTATAGCAATCATAATTTTCTCTAGAAGTATGAGCTGGTGTTTATCACCCCAGCAGGGTCTCGTTTCCTTCAGTAAAAATACTGAGGAGAAAGCAGAGTGAGTTCTATAACATCATCGATAATAAGAACAGTAATAGTAATAATATAATGGTGTCTTTATGGAGTGCTCCCTGTGGGTCAGGCACTGCCCTAAGAGCTTGATGTACATTATCTCATTTACTCCCTGTCACAACTACTAGTTAAGGCTCAGTCTTAGCCCCATTTTACAGAGGAGGACATGAACTTGCCCACTGTTAACGTAGCTGGCACACTGAGATCTGGGAATTGAGCCCAGATCAGCCTGAACCTGAAGCCATTGCTTCTAACCTCTGCCTCCCCTTCCTCCCCAGTCATTGCCTCCTTAGATCTGCCAACAACAGGCCTTGGGCTCAAGCCATTAATCCTCTCTCTTGTTGGGAATTGCTTTCAGGAATGCATAGAACGTTTTCATCCATCAGCATCGTCAGGTGGTGAGGGGAGACCAGGTCCCCTAGCACGGCTTCAAGTCTCTTGTTTGACCATCTGTATGCAGAGGGAGCACAGGGTCATGGGTAGGAATGTGGGCTCTGAGGCCAGATTTCCTGGGTGTAAATCCAGCTTGGCTAAGTTCTAGCTGTGTGACCCTGGGCAAGGTCCTTAACCTTCTGTACTTCCGTGTCCTCTCCTGGAAAATGGGAAAGATAACCGTAGTACTTACAGCTGGAACTGTTGTGAAGATTAAATGGGTAATATGTGTAAAGTGTTTAGGACAGTGCCTGGCACAGAGGACATCCTCAGCCTGTGTCTGCTGCTCTAACCGCTACTGTCATCTTCACAATCACCATTGCCACCACCATCATCATATTATCACCGTCACCATCACCATCTCATCACCATCATCATTATCATCTCTATCACCATCACCATCATCATCATTGGGGCTGCCATCCTCAGCCAAGTGTTAGTCAATGTTGTTGACCGCCAGGGATTATGATATAACCTTGCCTGCTGAAGAAAGCCATGTAGGTCCAGCCCCACATGTCACCCCTGGCCTCCAGGTCCTCCTACCTGCCCCTTCACAAGATCCCTCTGAGCATACCACCTGGAGAGGCAACCCTGGTACCTCAGAGCCCCTGACTGTGGCCTGGGCCGATGCCCCAAATTCAGGGTCCCCTCACCGTCAGTGGGATTGGCAAACTCCTTAGGCACAGCTGCCCCATCATCCAGCTCGACGGCCTCTAGGCCTGCACGGACCCCTTCAATCTGGACCTCATGCTCTCCCGAAGCCGTGTCGTCCTCTGACCTTGCACTCTCGCCTGTGCGACGGAATTTCACCACCCTAGAGGACAGAGCAAATCTGGTCATGATGGCTAGAACTCCTCCTCAATGGCCTTGCAGTATAGCTGTTGTGTCCAAGACAGGCGACAAGCTTTTCTCTCATGGTCTAGAGAGCTGAATGGGTGGAGGAGAGGTGGGGGTGGGCATTTCTGTTGAGTTGGACTGTGGGGAGGGTGACAACTTTAAGGGCTGCCTAGTAGAGTTGGATGGGTTGGGCACTGCACAACTCCAGGGGGAGCCCTGTTCACATGGTAAGTTATGTGAATGAGGATATCCTTGCGCTAGACCTAAAAACTGGTTGGAAGTACATGTGTTTCAGAATTTACGTTCCTCTATCTATATCTAATGGAAGTAACAATTTGGTCACCTAAGGGTAACATTATGCCCACCAAAAGTTGCCCACACAGTATTTTTTTTTTTTAATTTAAAGTGGATGCCAATGTTTTAAAATTAGGAGAATTCACATAAAAATCCAGATTCCCGACATCTCTTTCAAAAGTAGACTATCTGGCCACCTGGGGCACACATTCTAATAAGGGACCAACACGGCTAGACCAGGGCTAGATGGGACACACGATGCACAAGTGACCACAGTCTTGTCCTCTCCAAATAACCTCCAGCCCTGACAGTCTCCTGCCACTTATCTTTATACCTGCTTTGTGTTCCACTCACTTGGCACTTTGTCCCCTTTGTCTGGCTCTGTAGCCATTTGAGTTTGAGACCCCGTGGACTCCACTCTCGACACAATACATTCCTTCACACTGTGCTCCTTCTTGTTACTCGGAAACGCCTTGACTTCTCTGAGCAGCAACTTCTTAACCTGGGACTCAGAGGCAAAAATACATGTCTCCTCCAACTTCCTCACCCCCAAACACAAAACTCCTGCTCTCTGCCAGCCCTGTGGTGAGTTTCAGGGTGACGGCAGCAACAGGAGAGATGAGTCCCTACCCTCCCAGGAGAGAGTCACATGGAATGAGTAATGCCCATTTCTCCCAGAGCTTTGAAAAACGGGGTCTGCGATGACATGGGCATGAAGGGCAGAGGGCTGACGAGGGACTGGAGGGCAAATCTGGGCAACGTTTTTAAAAGGTAAAAATGGAGACATTTCTAAGTAAAAAGTATTGCTATCAACATTATCATCAATTAATTATTGCGTTATTCCATACATTTCACCAAGAATAACTGGTACTCTGGCATAGAAAGGGTAAATCTTCAGATTCCAGAAGGCTGGGCAACATTCCCTGCTTGTGAATTTGGAGAAAAGACAGATGAAATCACGGCAGTTTTGTAAATACCTGAAACTCCATTTGATGGCAAGGCTGGGCTTGGAAAGCTCCAGCTGTTAATCTCATCTTGTGTTGGAAATACGCGGCAGAGCGTAGAGCACAGGGTTTGCAGGCGGATCGGCTGGGATTGAAGCTTGGAGCAAACACTCCATCCCATCCACTACCACCACTGCACTCTCCACCACACCCACCACCGTCTAGCAGCACCTGTGCCTCGTTCTAGGTGTTGCTTTCCATGCACTCGCTCTGCACGACAGCTCTATTAGGTTGGTATTATTATCACCCTTTTACAGATAAGAAAACTGAGGCCCCAGAAGTCACAGTACTTACCCCTGGTCACAGAGCTAAAAAGGCATGGAGCCAGGGTTCACCCCCAGGTCTGTCTGATCAAAACCTCGTGTTTCTGGCCAAAGACAGGATACCATTCAAACCCTTCCATTACTCCCCATTTACTCCATTCCCCCCATCCAAAATCTTTTATTTTGAAATATTTAAAGAATATAAGATTGAATAGATAACAATGAGAGAAATGTCTTTGATTCTGCTGTCCAGCTTAAAGGCTAGACACTGCTAGTAGGTTGGACCATATGAAATTGCCAACATTTGACCATAATTCAGTTGAAGCCACCATGTCTCTTTTCCAGTCTCTCTCTCACACATTTTCATCGTTAATACTCTTCCTTGATCAGTGCTCTTTACAGGCATCGTTATTGGACTTCACCCTCTCAATAACCCTGAGAGGTGGTGACCATTACCATCCCCACAGCATAAATATACCTATAGTCACTCTGAGCCTCAGTTTACCTTGCTATAAATTGGGTGTAATAGTTTTGTCATAGGTCGAATTCCTTAGAAGCAGATCCTAAAATGGAATTCTCTTTTTTTTCACCTGTGGTAAAATACACATAACATTAAATTCAATATTGTAACCCTGTTTAAGTGTAGAGTTCTGTGGCATTAAATACATTTACATATTGTGCAACCATCACCACTGTCCATTTCCAGAACTTTTTTTTATCTTCCCAAACTGAAACTCTGTACCCACTAAACACTAACTTCCAATCCCCTTTCCCCACCAGCCCCTGGCAAGAACGATTCCACTTTTTACCTCTATGAATTTGACTACTCTAGGGACCCCACATAAGTGGAATCATACAGCAGTTGTCTTTTCGTGATTGGCTTATTTCACTTAACATCTTCAAGGTTCATTCATGTTGTTACATGTGTCAGAATTTCCATCCTTTTTAAAGGCTGGATAATGTTCCATTGTATGAAATGTGATCCACAGGGAGCTCTGGAGTGTGAATTGTACCATGGAGATTGTCCCACCCAGAGGTCTGGGGGCTTGGCTCGAATCAGTCAATCACTGGTCATGCCACCCCAGGGATGGAAGGCATAACTTCCCAGGTATCCCCAGGTGAAGTGGCTCCCCTCAGTCAAGGGAAACCCTCCAGAGGTGACTGCAGCTGTGAGCTGTGAGCACCCATGATTGGCAGCAGCTGGGGGATGATCAATCTGGTAAAGGGAATCTGGGACAGGCACCAAAGGTATCTGCTACAAATAATAGCCCTCCAACCATACAGCTATTTATTGAGCCCTTACTAAATGCTAAGAGCTCTGCCTTTTACATTATCTCCTGTTAGTTACCCTGATGATCAACCTACGAATGAGTTAATGTTATTATCCCCATTGTATAGATGAGAAAACAAATGCTCAGAGAGGTTAAGACACTTGCCTGAGGTCACACAGCTTGAAAGAACTGAGGCTTCAGCCTGGATGTCTTTGGTATTAGAGCCCTGGGTCCTAATCACTAAGCATCAGTGCCTCTTGCGAGCATTCACCTGTGTCTGGGGAATGAATGTGAAGCCCGAACTCAGCTGCCCTGTGTGGGTGGGCTTGCCAGAGGGTGGATAACGACGTGACCTGGAGCAGGAATCGAAAGGCACAGCTCGATTCCAGCCTGGCTGACAGCTCTTCAGGTTGTCACATTTGTGCAGGGGCTCTTGAGCTGGATGGAGCCTCGAAATCCCTGCGGGGCTGGTCACAACACAGAAGTCGGGGCCCCACTCCAAGAGGGTGTGACTCAGAAAGTCTCGGTTGGAGACTGAGATTTTGCATTTCCAGCACGTTCCCAGGTGGTGCTGCTCTGGCTGATCCAGCGACCGAATTAGCGCATTAGAGGCAGGCAAACAATTCTGCCCACCCCACCTTCCCCACCCCTAGTGCTGAGGGGCGGAGGCTCCTACTCTGTTGGCTGAGCTGGGTGCCTGCAGCTTACGCTCCTCACCCGAGAGGCCCAGAACCCCTGTGGCACGGGACTCAGACAAATATCCCTGCAGTCCAGGGCTGGGGCTTCCTTTGCAGCTGGAAGGCAGGTGTCACCTGGGAGCAAAGGCCAGGAGACAGACTGCCTTAGGCTTAGATATCTGGCATGAAGTTGGAATCTGGGGCTTCATTTAAGCAACACTTTTACAGCAAGAGCACCATTTTATTCACAGTATGTATTGTGTTGGCCAAAAAGTTCGTTCCGGTTCTTTGCAGAATATGGGGAAATCCGAACGAAGTTTTTGGCCACCCCAAAATTTATTTGGGGGTAGCTCTGGAGGGATGCTGATGTGGATTATGGGGATGCTCTGAAGCCAGTGCCTACAAACTGAGTCTCAAAGCCCCCAAACCATACTGATGTGTAGCATTTGCCAATATCTGTGGGGTAAATACTCCCACTGTGACCAATTTTAAGCTCTCAGTGGTTAAATAACAGGCTCTGAGATGTTCTGAATATTTCACAATCTGCTCACTAGAGCTTCCGTGAGCAGCCTCCAGCATAACTACTGTAAAAAGTCCTCAAATCGCTGTCACAAGCTACAACACAGATGAACCTTGAAACACGATGCTGAGTGAAAGAAGCCAGACACAGAGAGTCACACATGTATGATTCCATTTATGTGAAGCAACTTCATAGAGACAGAAAACAGATCAGTGGTTGCCAGGGGCTGGGGAAAGAGGGATGAGGAGTGACTGCCTAATGGGTACAGAATTTCCTTTTGCGGTGATGAAAATGTTCCGGAATTAGATAGAGGTGAAGGTTGTACAACGTCCATGTTCACAGCAGCACTATTCACGACAGCCCAAAGGTGAAAACAACCCAGGTGTCCATCAGTGGATGAGTGGACAAGCGAAATACAGTCTATACATAAAATGGAATATTATTCAGTTTCCAAAAGGAAGGGAAAGGGGAATTCCCTGGTGGTCCAGTGGTTAGGTCTCCGTGCTTTCACTGTCAAGGGCCCAGGTTCAATCCCTGGTGAGGGAACTGAGATCCCACAAGCTGCACAGCCAAAAAACAAACAAAAAACAGAAACAAAAAAGGAAGGAAATTCTGACACATGCTATAATATGGATGAACCTTGAAGACATGCTAATAAGTGAAATATGCCAGTCCCCAAAAGACAAATACTGCATGATTCCACTTATATAAGATACTTAGAGGAGTCAAATTCAGAGACAGAAAGTAGAATGGTGGTTTCAGGGGTTGGGAGAGGAAGGAATGGAGACTTAGTGTTTAATAGGTACAGTTTCAGTTTGGGAAGATGAAAACTTTCCGGAGATGGACGGTAGTGACGGTTGCACAACGATGTGTAGCACTTAATGCCACAGAACTGTGCTCTTAAAAATGGTTAAAATGGTAAATTTTATCTTATGTGTATTTTGCTAT